ATAACTACAAATTTTGAATGTGCCTGCTGCCTGGTGTGTATCTATCACACATGTTTCAGTCTCTAAGGCGGACATTACATTGAGTTTCATTCATGTTGTAGAGAATTATCCTAACTCTGACCTCAGTCACTGCAGGTATCCATCAAAAAGTTCTTTGAAACTGTGAGGACTGACCAAAGTGACCTCACAATGATGGTTTTGAACCTAAATTTGTCCTCACAACCATAGCAAGACATGTATACACACATGTACATGCCCTAACAGAAGTTGATCTGCAATAAAGCTACTGTGATTTCTCCTGCTAGAACAGAACAACATGAACAACAGTAAAAAAAAATACCCTTAGATAATCAGTCTAATTTGCCAATCACAGTTAGTTGTGTGAAAGTTTAGGCAGCAACTGCACTTGTGCACTTGTTTGTGTCTGTCAATGTGCATGTGTGTATTGTTGTGTGTGGCAGTAGAACTGTCTACCATAGAGCCCCCAAAAAGCTTGTGTTATCACGTTGATACACTAATACAGTTAATATCTATAACGTGGAGATGGTATTTGTGTGTCCGTCAATGTATGTGTGTGTGTGGTGTTAGAAACTGTCAAAGCTTAACCTTCAAAAAGCCCTTTGAAGTTGTCAGGACTGCCCAAAATGACCTCACACAATAATGGTTTTTAACCAAAATTGTCATCATAATTCTAGAAAGAAATGTACACACACACACACACACAAGAACCACACAACAACATGCACACACAAGTACATGCAAATACACTGTGTTTATTTACCTTATAATTGCTCTCATACCTGATTTAAAACGCTAATAGTTAATGAGTCTAATTAGCTAATCAGAATCAGCTTTGTCCATTTCTGCCCAGTAACTGTCTGAAGCACCTGCTGAGACACTGGTTGCTTTGGTGACTGTGGCCACCAGGGGGAGGAGAGAAACATGCACACACAATCCCCTCTGTCTCCCCAGGCTCCAACAGCTTTTAAGATGAAGCTTGTGTTCAAAAATTGGATCACAGAGGGAAAACTACAAGTCCTATTGAAAAGATCACCTCACCATTGCCGTCCCAAGGCTTCAATAAAGATATTGATATCTTTTATGTGTACCAACAGTTTACGGTTATTGCAGTTTAGAAACTCCCCTCAACTCCGTTCGGGGCAAGAGCTCAGGATCTCAGTTTAACATGGGCGTCTATGGGAGCTTTGGACAGCCCTCTCTGCACTTAAGTGGGATTTCCTCAAAAACTGTAAAAGATATCAGAATGAGACCAAAACTGGGTGATATAGGACAAAAATCTCTACATCTTTGATATAAAAATCGTCAATGAAGGTTGGAAATTGTGGGATTTAAAAGAGTTTGTCAGATTTATTTTGAGGAAAATTTTCAGGGATTGCAGTTAGAGTGCGTGTGATGTCATCCTCCATTTTGGAGCATTAACATTTTATTCCTCTTTTATTGAGAGTATTTTCACTTTTTCATTTGCAAAAACCGATCGCAAGGTGTTCTTTGCCCAGCTCTAAAATTATTGGAAAAACACACAGATCCCGAGCACAGTTTATACTGAACAAAGTCTTCAAAAAGAAACAGAAGATTATCATTGACCACACACATGTCTTCAATGAATACTCTGAGCCAATGCTGACAGATGTGTTTTAGATCTCCCGTATGTAAAACAAAGAGGAGGAAGTTTGGTTTTTATTCCAGAAGCCATTAGACTTGTTAACAGCCACAGCACTAATAAGCACATCACATCACATGTGTGCATTTGAGTAAATGTACATAGAGCATTATCCTATCCACTGAGCACTTCATTAGGAACACCTGTACACCTGCTTATTCATGCAGTTATCCAATCAGCCAATCACGTGGCAGCAGTGTGATGCATAAAATCGTGCAGATTCAGGTCAGGAGATTCGGTTAATGTTCACATCCAACTTCAGAATGAGGAAAACATATGAACTCAGTGACTTTGACTTGTTGGTAACAGACTGGCTGGTTTGAGTGTTTCTGAAACTGATGATCTCCTGGGATTTTCACATAGAACTGTCTCCAGAGTTTTTACTCAGACAAAAAAACAAAAAAGCATCCAGTGAGCAGCAGCTCAGTGGACAGAATCGCCTTGTTGATGAGAGGTCAGAGGAGGTGGATGGGCTACAACAACAGAAGACCACATCAGGTTCCAATCCTGTCAGCCAAGACCAGAAATGGGTGAGTGGACAGCTGAAGACTGGAACAACGTAGCCTGGTCTGCTGGATCTGGATTTTCTGCTGAATCTCACAGATGGTTCGGGTCAGAATTTGGCATCAACAGCCTGAATCCCTGGACCCAACCTGCCTTGTGTCGACAGTCCAGGCTGGTGGTGGTTGTGGTGGTGGTGTAAAGGCGTGGGGGAAAGTCTTGGCACACTTTGGACCCCTTAATACCAACCAATCATCAGCTGATTACCACAGTCTATCCCACTCCTGCGGCCTCCTCCGTCATCGGATCTGAATCCTGTAGAACACCATTGGGAAGTGGTAGAACAGGAGATTGGCAGCGTGAATGTGCAGCTGACAAATCTGCAGAAATGATGTGATGCAATCGTGGCAACATGGAGCAGAATCTCAGAGGAATGTTTCCAACATCTTGTGGAATCCATGCCACAAAGACCTGAGGCTGTTTAGAGAGGGAAGGAACTACCCAGTATTAGTAATAGTATGATGTTCCCATTAAAATAAGAAAGAAAACCCCATAAATGTACACAGTAAAATTTCAGATGCAAGCATGATAATACCCAGTTATCTTATCATAGCTGTCTTTTCCTTGAATTACTTCATTAAACAATCATTTTCCTTCTTTATATTTAATCATTTTTCATGATAATAACAAGACTGTGCTGTTGTGGCTCTGTAGGGTTACAGAGGGACAGATGGGTGTTAGACTGCACTGCAGCTGCTCAAAGAGTTGGTGCCTCCCTGGTGTTTTGGCTGATGAGGTGTAGTTTGTGTCTCCAAATGAGGAGCATGTGTGGCAGACGCCCTCCTGATACATTATTAATAGTTGTTAGACTCCAGGCGCTCTTTTTTTTTTTTTTTTTCCCTATGTTGAATTTCAGACTTTTCCTCCTTCGCTCAATCTAGAAATCCCAATACCGTACATCTCTGTATCATTTCTCTCTTTACTCGACACCCCTACTGCCACTCTGTCTCCTAATTGTCTTCCACCATCGCCATCTCTGACTCGGCTGGTGACTGTACTCTCGTAAACCAAAGTGTGCCAGCTGCTCCTGAATGAACAAAATACAGCAATTACCAGGTTTGGAAATGGAGATAGGAGATTTATTTCATTTTAGTATAATGACCGTTTCTCTGTCTCTGGTGTTCGTTTAGCTGAGAGGATGAGGCTGAGCTGAATCTGACAGTGTCTGCTCAATAGCACAAATGAAACAAGAAATGAAGTGAAGTTAGAAAATGATTCAGGAGAGCACAGGGAGACACTGATTGTCTAATGATTTAGAAAAGCTTCACAGCAGAGTGCTCAGGTAGCTGCTGATAAGAGAGCAGAGATTTAAAGGAATACTTGTCTTTCTTGCTGAGAATCAGATGAGAAGACTGATACTGCTCTCACATCTGTCTGTTAAATGTGAAGCTACAGCCAGCAGCTGTTAGCTTAGCTTAGCACAAAGACTCAACAGGGGGAAACAGCTAGCCTCGCTCTGTCCAAAAGGCAACAAAACCCACCCACCAGCACCTCTGAAACTCAGTAATGTTGGATTTTGTTTCTTTTAACTATGCAAAAACCTGAATTGCAAAAATCAATCAATTGTCTGGTAACCGGCAACCAAGTCGAGCAATTGTTTGGTGAGATTGTAAATGTTTGTAGGTGTGTTTTTATAACACTGGACAGAGCCAGGCTAGCTGTTTCCCCTTCTGTCCAGTTTTAGTGCTCAGCTAACCTAAATGGCTGCTGGCTGGCTGTAGTCTAAGGTGTATTTTTAATGGACAAATGTGAGAAAGGTATTGATTTTCTCATCTATAATTTACTGCCAAAAGGCAAGAAAAAAAAAAAAGCAGATTTCCCAAAATAAAAAACTTTGCGACAGCGTCTCTCATCAAAACTTTCTGGGACTTGGTCAAACTGCACTTTTAAGAATGTTGTGACTGTGATTGTGTTTCTGTTTTCTATCGGTTGGATGCTTCCACTTTTGCACATCCTCCGAGACCCCCCCCCCGCAAACATATCCAACAATGCAGGGGTCAACGGTGTGTTAATTTCATCAAGAGGGTGAATTTATGGTCACCATAAAGGCTGTGGCCTCCAGACGCTGGAATACCAATGACTCACTGTAATGTTATCACGGCCATCTCAAAGGCATCTGAATGGCAGCAGACGAGGCCAGCACAGAGGCTGTGAAGAGACCAAGCTTGTTGGCTTTATGTAGGGCTAATTACAGGACTGGGAGACAGACTCTCTGTCAGGAGGGATGGTAATATCATTAATGTCGGGGGAAAGAGGAGGAATGAGACGCGTGGGGTGAAGTGTGTGGCTGTGAGGCACAAATTATGGGTGGACTGTATAAATGCCAGAAGGTAATGAAAAATGCAAGCGGGTGGCAGAAGATACAGTCCTTCTCAGGTGTCTGCGCTTCTCACTGGATCAGAATAGCCTAATTAGGATAAATTATTAATCAGGATTGTTTTTCTTCTCTGCGGCTTCACAGAGAGGACGTTCAGTATGAACAAACTGTTTCTCTACTGCAGAGTCAAAGCTGCTCCACAGCAGACCTGAGCAGCTCAACTAATATTTATTAGACATAACAGAGCAGTATCTGTACAGCATCATCAGAACTGAACAGAAAATACACAGCAAGTTAGGAATAAATTCAATTCTGAAGATAGAGAGAATTTATATCAAATATGATGGAGTAAATGCTTTGATTATGAGGCCAACAAAGGAGATCTTCTTTAAACTGCTGAGTCCCTGTCGAATGTAAGAGAGGAAGAGATTAGACCACAAGTTTAAGAAAAAATGCTTTTATTTTTTACACCTTTAAAAAGCAAATTTTTAAAGCACAAAGATTTTTACTCTGTATATAAACACGTCTCTTCCTTGGACTAAAAAATGGTAGCATTTGCACATTGTGCTTGGATTGCAAAGTCTATACAACCGCTCTGGGTCTCCTGTGGTGTCAAGACCCCAGTAAACATTTTATTGCATAAATCACATTTGACCTCAGTGGTCACATGTCTTTTAATGTGTAGTGGAAAGACAGACAAAAATACCACTAAAATGAGGAAAAGGAAGTTCTCATACCTATTACACAGTGAACAATAATAGCAGCTTTCTTAATGAAGGCGTTGCACATTGTCCTGAAAAGAAAAAAAACAAGTACTCCAAAAGAAATACAACCAAATAATGTGATATTAAACGGCAGTTGTGCTTTTGTCTATCTAGAAAAACATCTGATGCAAATGATTGATCCAACAACTGAAAAAAAAACACTCAATAAAAACACAAAAACCAAAACCAAAAACCAAAACAAGCAAAAACTTTCAAGGAGAATTTGCAGCAATTGGCTCATTTCCCTTTAAAACAGTAGCTGACTAAATGCTAATCTCTAGTTGCACACATCCCCTTTATGATAAGCAAGTTACATATCTTGTTTTTGCTATAATCTATTCAACCTACATTTGAAAAACTAGTATTTCTCAAAAGGCAGTGTCTCTCCGTGACATCTCCAAGGAGACTTATCATTAAATGCTGAATGGAAATCGGTTTGCACACAAAAGTAGACCAATTCAAATGTACTTGAATCAATGACTTTGGTATAAACAAAATGGAGCCAGTTATTCACACACAAAACCTCAATTCCTGAATGTTCCCTTTTAAACTACATATATCTACTGTCCTGTCAAAATGGCAAAGTATGAATTATGCAAGTATCTGTGGGAAGAAAATGCCACCACGAAATGAACAAAACAAGGATCAGCAAGCATTCAAAAAAACTGCGCACTCAGACCTCTCCTCCGGGATCATTTTAAAAACATAACTTCAGTATAATTCCTTCCATCCACAATATAAATCTCGATGGCGGAGGATAAGGGCCACGGTTAAGAAAAAAAAGTCTCAAATATTTTGAGAAACAGTTGTAATTTTTGTGGAAAAGGAATAAATTTACCAGAAAAAGTCACAATATTTCAAAGTCATATTTCGAAAAAAATGAAAAAGACTTTCCATTTTCTTCTTAATATTATTCTTCTTCTCTCCCACAATATCATGACTTTATTGTTGAAATATTCTGACAATATCTCAGACTGTTTCTTCTTTAACAGAGGCCATAATGCTCCATCATAAATCCTCGCTTAGTCTTGAAAGCTAGATGCTGAGTTACAGTTGAAGCTGTGAGGTCAGGAAGATGTTTGTACCAAAAGCAGCTCTTTTCCACTCAATGTTACATTGAAATGAATCACAGGCGTCTTTGATGTAGTCTTAATAGCTCACACAATGACAACCTGACATCCGACTGTCTGGGAAAATGTATTCATCTCAAAGTTTACACCAGGTTCATGAGAACGACCAAAGAAAATTCACCATCACCGCTTTCAGAGAAACGAAGCAGCCTGATTCTCACGCTTCTCATTAATAATCTTTAAGCTAGATCGATGAAAGCCTCATTGATGCCGAGGGCTCCACTTTGTTTTGTTTGTGAGAGCGATGCCAGTGAATGCTGACTCATCCCCGACTAGCGACTGCACTGTGTGTGCTGGCTCTCCAGCCTATTAGCCCGGTGAATTGTTAGTGTCTTGGCGAGCCCATCTCTCCTCGTACAGCGGTCAACAGGGCAGCGCTCAGATTAAAAACGCTGAGTTCATGCACCCACAACAGCTGAGAGGAGAAATGAGAGCGTGCTGGGACTGACAGCCTCTTTGTGTTTATCAAGAATTTACCTCCAGCTTCACTTTGTCTGTTTAAATGCTATGAATTGACATGGTAGTGAGATGCAGCTGTGCCTCTGCTGCCCACATTTCCATCTCCTCAAATACACAACGCAGACATCCACACCGCCTACACTTGTATCCTGCAATTATCATCTGCAAGTTTAAATTATAGGAGAAGAGCTTTTCACAGGAGTTTTCAAGGAAATAATCGAAAAAAGGTCAAATAGGAAGGCATGAAAATTAATGAAAATGTAGCTACAACTAATAATGCTGGTGTTCAAACCAAGCACATGATATGATACAGGGATTCAACTGAAGCTTAAGTTTGCTATTTTAAGAAATAAGTTAAGTGTTAGTTTAAAGTCATTGCCACAGTGTGTCCTGTGTACATTTCTTATGATTTAGATTTAGACTGATCTGCATGAGGGTTTAGTTGACTCTTATATTTGAATCTGTCTTTATTTATCAGGGATAGTGCACATTAATTGGCACTAATAAAACTGACTAACTGTTAATACCTGTAAGAATCTGAATAAATGATTGATGATATTATCTAAGATGGCTTATATGTCCGTGCACTTCCTGTCCACTTCAAGGCGACACACCCATGAAGAGGTTAAATGTTATGTGGCTCTGAATCCTAAATGTTTTCTAGCTTCACTCAAACTGTGCAAATGAGAAGAACAGAGAGGAGCGACAGTGACACTTGATCAGATGTTCATTTCTCAGCCGCCATTTTTAAATAAACACAGCTGACGAAGTTGGGATTCACAGCCAAGACGTCTGATATGAGAAACTTATGCTTTACTAAGTGAGCTGTACTTGAAGTGATGCAGGACTAATTACTCGTAGCTGCGTTCTACAGCAGCAGAGGAATTATTCATTATTTTTTGTGACCAACTGACGGTCTTTCGTTGGTTTTGATTAGCACCTAAGAATGGTTGCAAAAAGCATGTCATCTTAAAACATCACGGAGATGCCAGCATTACAGTGGCTCCAACACTGACGACTAACTAGGATAAATGATTAATTGTGATTTTATTTATATAAAGATTATTGTGGGCTTGATGGGCTTATCACAGGGAATGTAACGCATTGTGGCAGCTTGCTACCTGCAGTCTGCTACGTCTCAACTGAAACACAAGTGTAAGTCACATGAGCCAAGATGCAGTCACGCAGGCGACTCAACAGAATGCTAAATACAGTGGAATTATGGGTAGGGACCAAGGAGCGCGGCTGCCAGCAGAGCCAGCTTAAATCTTTGAAATCAAATGTGGTGGTTTGAGGTGTTTATTCCTCAGAGTTGATTTCAAGCACCTTGGCAGACAGAAGAAAAAAAAAGGTAAAAAGTATTTCAAGCACAAAACAACACAACAACACCCCCCCCCCATATTATTTGTCAATAGTCATCTGTATTTTAGAGAAAAGGGCTTCAGAAAAGACCTGGAAGTTACTGGTTTGGAAGCATAAAGCATTTGACTCTTCAGCTAAAATGTATCTCACCTAACAGCTTAAACATGGTGAACTTCAGAAACAAACTTCCTGATTTTAACCTTGTACGTTTTGAAGGTTATGGGATAAAACAATGTTGCAATGTGGAAATAAAATCCAAAATTATTTCATATTGATACGATTCTTTTTTTCTTTTCTTTTTTGGCAACATTCTCCTCCAAATAATTTATAATATATTCTGTTATTTACAGTTTATTTGTTTCAATAAACTTTGCAAATCTGGGATGAAATGGTAAAAAAATACAGTTTGAGAAGAGACTGGATGAACAATGTCAGAGATGTGAGATTCAGTTTAAACAATTCAAGGAGATTCATCTTTATCTAACATCATATACTGATATTTTGAACCACACACGCACACACACGCACACACACACGCGCGCACGCACACTCTGAAACTAGGTCTGTGCATAATTACAAACACTAGCTCAAGAAAAGAAAAAACAGGCGTGGGGGGAGCTACAGTCAGTGTTGCAGAAAATACAAAACCTGCAACAGAGCACACGAGAAAGTTTTAGAGTTGAGAGCTGCAGCTGACTAAACTCATCTTTTAGATTATGAACCTCAACCAAAACTGGGACGCACACACACATACAATGTGAGCACCCACTTCACATTCAATTATCCATTCAGTTCTCACACGTAGAGCATATTCCTGCTCTCAGTCAGTCATCATCTCAGCTGTATACTATATGCGGGTTACATTTTACCTAGTTGTGCTTGGCACGAATCCCTTTTAAGTAGTTTTTCCAGCGCTTGACCACATCTTTGAAGATGGGAGAGTTGTCTATGGATGCCAGCAGCTGTAGCTGGTTAATGTGCGTGGTGTGATAGTCCCAGCGCGCCAGGTTGGGTGCAGTGCCCAACATGAAGTGACGCAGGTCATAGATGCTCCCGGACCCCGTGTCAAAGAGCGGCAGCATGGCCTTTAGTGACTCCATGCCACGGCTGAACAGCTGCCCTGCCTCCCTGCCAAGTTTCTCTCCGGCTGTCTCAGTCAAGTCATAGAGTCCCAGCAGGGAGTAGATGAAGCCGTTGAGGACAAAGGAACTGGGCGTGGTGGGGTATTCTTCATACCAGTCGTATTTGTTCATGAACACAGCTTTGACCCCGTGCTGCGCTGAAGGCACCTTGTAGGGTCCTACTGCCTTGAGGGCAGCGTTGAGGTAAACCTGGTCCTTGGTGAGGAGGTAGGCCCTCACCAGGGTGGACATGGCCTGGCCCTGAGCCATGGCCGAGTACCAGCCGGGCTCCAGAGGCCGGAAACCTTCACCCAGTTTACGAGTGACCATGATGGGCCATCCACCTCGTTCGTCCTGGTTGCGCACCAGCCAGTCGCTGGCGGCAAAGAAAGCGGCCATGTGGGCAGTGGTGGAGATAGTGACGTTGTCAACAAAGCCACGCCCATGTAGGACTAACCGCACCACCCGCCTGGGCATGATCTGAGAGGGAGATCAGACGCAAAGGCGAACAAAATAATTAATGAATGGAAACGGGATTTGGTATCTCGACATGTAATTGGTCGATAATCTCTACACTGTTCACTCTCCAGATGAAATATGGCACAAGTAAAATTTTACAAAAATCTACATCATTTAATCAACATTTCAAATTTTACTAAAATTTGTTTTTAAAAACAACAAAGCAATATATAATTGTATAATTAGTTTTGTTGATAAGTGGTTTTGTCTTTGAAACACAAGAGAATTGTGGCAAATGTTTATCAAAAATTACTTATTTATATTATTCAGTTTAATAAAACATAAAACAATCAGTGAATTCTCACATTTGACAAGATTAAACGAGGAAACGTTCGTCATTCGTGATTAAAAAATGACTTAAATGATGATTCATTTTCTGTTGATTGATTATAGACTCATTTTTTCAGCTCTAGTCCAGTTACATAGTCATTACAACACTGGGTGTTTTATTTAAAAAGGTACATATGTATTTGACATGAACCAACCTTCGTGGCCTTCACAGCCTTGGTGTTGGACAGGCCGACGCCCTTCCTGAGGTCGGTGAGCAGGTCTCGGGTCAGAGTGGTCCAGCTGGTTCTTGGCCCGATTCCGTAGGTGATTTCATGATCTTTGAAGGCTATGAGTTGCGTGCCGGTCACGTAGCGAATAGTGAAGGGCGGGCCCTTCTCTGTGGTTTCCAGGACCACGGACACGCTGCCGTTGGAGATGAACTTGACGTCCAAGCTGAGGATGAAGTCTTTGGAGTTACCCAGCTGGAGGGACACGCCTTCTGAGGACTCTGTGGTGGGGTGGGTGCAGCAGAGAAAAAGTGTGTGTGATGTAAAGGGATGGCAGGAGAAAAGAAATGTCAGAGTGTATTCAAGTGCATTTCATCAGAAATAAATGACTAACCTCATCCGACTGAATTTAAGAACTTCTGACGATTACTGGATGACAATGGACTATTTTTAGCCACTGACTGGAAGCCTTTTGCAGTGCGTCTGTCTCCCTTAATACACTCTCCTCTGTTGGTATGTTTCTATGATAGCTCTTGTTTTCACTCATGTTCCCCGGACTCAGTCGGTAGTCACATTCTCAAATCGATAACAATCAGACAACTTTAGAAATAATCTGCGGTCAAAGCCCCGCTTCTTTATTACCGGGGTCTTGTATCGTTATTACTTGTGTGAAGTGCATCGCTGGCTGTGTGTGTGTGTGTGTGTGTGTGTGTGTGGGAGAGAAAGAGAGAGAGAGAGAGAGAGAGAGAGAGAGAGAGAGAGAGAGAGAGAGAGAGAGAGAGCAGACACACAGAGACAAGGTTCTCATGGGATGTAGAGTACAGATGTGTCACTGCACACTGAGCTTAATTAGGAGGACAGACTGGAGGAAACAGAGGGAGAAAACTGAGGGAAAGAACCGAGTAGCAGCAAGATGGAACAAGTGAGTGAAAGAAGTTGATTTACTGCAGCAACTTCTCCATGTCTCTTCCCTACAAATCTCAAAGACACAAACTCAGATGATATTCATTTTCTTTACTGCCACTGCGCCTCTTACACTACATCAACTCTCAGTATTCAGTTGCTGTTCTGATTTCATTTCAACAGCCTAAAGCGATACCAGCACCTGGAAAGATCCCTCCTTTGGCCTTGTTACTTGGTCTAAAGAGCAAAAAAAAAAAAAACAAAAAAAAATCAAGGCCCCCCCCCCCCCAAAGGATGAAGGGAGGAAAGCACGTAGGAGTCTGGGAAAAGGAGGGCATTGGAATGATGGGTCACACAAGTGTTCTTAAAGCCACGCCTGAGAGTGGAGAGAGTGAAAATGAGGCAATAGTGAGAAGACAATTGAGAACCAGAGAGGCAGAGATCTCACATGACACGAGCTGAGAAAGCAGAAGTAGACGAGGCCAGCTGAGGCACAAAGACAGTCGATCAGGAGGAGAATGAAGGAGAGAGCCAGTCTGGCAGGGGCCTCTGGATGACTACGACTCTTTAATGCACTCATAAATCCATTACTTAAGGCAATGCAGAGAGTAAGTGGATTTGTACCCTGGCCCTGTGATTACTCCGCCATCAATAAAGGATGGGAAGGGAATATAGACGAGATTCCACCTCCTCTCCTCTGCTCTGCTCTCTGGCTGTTTAGCAGTAAGGCAGGATACAGAGATGACATGCAGCAAGAAATATGTCAGCCATGCTTGAATACAAGTGTGAGCATGAAAGACGAAACACTTGAAAACACATGTACTGTAAGTGTTGGGTGCGTGAGAGGATAAGAAAGATCCGAGCGACAAGGCAACAGTCAATGCCCTTGTGATTAACACATTCTCCAGACACATACAAAAGATAGAGCGGCTATGAAAAGTTTCTCTCAGGAAGTGTGAACGGTTCTAAGGTTGTAACCAATGTTTATTTTTATTACTGATTTATTGGTTATTTCCTCAATTAATCTTTATGTCGTTGAAACGTAGGAAAATAGTGGAAAATTACAATTTCCCAGAGGCCAAGGAGACAAATTCTAATTTCCTATTTCATATTGTCAACACTTCAATAAATTCAGTCTACTGTATTATCATGTATGACAAAGAGAAACATATCCCCTACATTTGAGAAGCTAAAACCATCTAATTAGTCTTTTTTTACTTGACATATGACTGAAACTATCATAAAGTCAGTTATCAATTAATTTTCTGCTAATTGACTAATCAATTACTCAGCTCACTGCTTCAGCTCTACATGCACCTGTGTTACAACACTGACTCAAAGTAGATTCAACGTGAATACTGAACAGAAAAAAAAGACTCTTTAAAAGTGATGAATCAATTTTAAATATAAAATACATAATTGCATAAGTATTTAGTAGATGTATATTTGACAGTAATTTCAACCTTCAGTCTGTATGAAGATGTCTCTGTGTCCACATCTTTGCACATCTGGACACTGCAGTTTTTCCTCCTATTCTTCTTTGCAAAAATGCTCCTGCTGTTCTGCCCGGTGACAAAGGGATGAGGGAGTGGACAGGCTTTTTCAAGTTCAGCTACTAAATCTTGACCGGAGAGAAGAGATCCGGACTTTGACTTGGCCACTAGAGATGTGTTTTTACTCTGACATTAAAATTATAAAATCAATCTGCATTTTTCCTCCAATGGCAATTCATGTATTTACATTTACTAATCATCTTTCTTTCTTTAATAGTTTTTATTGGTAGTGGTGGAGTCAAAGATTCAGATTGCCAATCAAAGCACGAGGGATTGAAGATGAAGCGTACGATCCAGTGTTCATGTTTACTGTTCACTCTCCTATGGCCGTATCACAGCTGAATAAAGTCAGAGGAAGCAGCAGCCACAGTGAGATAAAGAGTTCCAGGGAACAGGCTGCAAACCTCCAAATCTTCAGCAAGTTAACCAACTTTGATGTCCCCTGGAAAACTGGAAAACTACTTGCACCGTGTGCAGCATGAAATCAGATCAAAGTTTCAATTATTATAGACTCATATCTTTGTATTTCTGATGAAGTAGCTGCTCAAGATCAACCAGAATTGAAATGTTAAGGATTACAATTCTAAAGAGACTGCTTATGTTTATCAGTGTCAAAAAAAAAAGCCGCATTACATCTACTGTGGCTAGAAAATAAAACATCAAAGCTTGGTGAAAACTTTTGAAGGCACTGCCACTGCTTGGTGACAGCGGTTACTCCAAAGCATCTGCATACAGTGAACACCCTGCAAACTCTAACAGCAGTTCGTTTGTACAAACTACATTTCTGAACGATCGACCGACCACGAGGAAATTCGGAAAATAAAGGTGCTCAGTGGAGGACAGTGTTCGTGCAGCAATGTGCAGATGGTCGGTTATTATCAGGGGACGGGCGATTGATCCACTTGTCAGAGGCTTTGAGAGTCTGTTCAACATCGGTGCCCTAGATACAGTAAGGAGGAAAAAAAGACCCAAACAAAAGGAAGGGGGTAGGAGAGGAAGTGGAGGGAGGCAAAGACAGAAAGAGAAACTGACAGCAGAGGAAGAAATCAAGAAAAGTTTGGATGAGACAGCAGAATGAGGCATTAAAATGGATCGGGCAAATATGATTGCAACGTTTTGGAGGTGCACGGGGGCTGAGGGGTGATAAGTGGGTGGAAATAAGTAAATAGAGGTGGAAGACTGAAATCTGGAGATAGACAGGGAAGATTAATGGAGAATGAAGACTGCCAAGGGAGGGCTGAGGAGTGATGATGAAACCATGATGATGTCAAGGAAAGACAGATCTGTGATGGTGAGTTGAAGCTGTAAGGCAAGGTGAGCACGGAGCAGAACAGACAGAGAGAGAGAGAGAGAGAGAGAGAGAGAGAGAGAAAAGGGCGGGGAGCGGTGAAATGAAAAGAAATTGTTGATGATGAGAGGCTGAAAGCTGAAGAATTAGGAGGAGGGGAAAATTACAGTAGAGACAGCCGCTCAATACAGACACGGAGAGAGAGAGAGACAGAGGGAGGGAGGAAATATCAGCAGGGGATCAGATGAGAATAAAGACAGATCACAGTCAGCACTGGGTAAAAGATTCCAAATATAAGCCTGCCAACTATCTTGTGGTCTTGGTCACTTTACAGTTGTAAATCTAGGCTCGATTTCCAATCCCTATCGCAATAGATACCTCAGATAGATAGTTTAGATATTTAGACCAATCAGAGCTACCCCCGTCCACAGCCTTTGTGGACCCGAGTCCGACGCAGAGGATCCAGAGTCCCTGTGTAATTCTGACAAGCCTTGGTGTTCCCAGAGTTCTGGTCGACAAGCAACTGTCTAACTTTGAGATCAGGAGTGGATTTTGGCAGGTCCAGGTCCCACCTTAGACACCAGCAGTCTATACAGGACAGGAGGCCAGAGGTGGAAGCACAGGGTCTCCAGTGCAGAGCTGGTCCAGACCCCCAACAGAACCTGGACCACTCTCCTGGAGGAGGACCTCAGCGGGCTGGGACGACAGCTCAGCCTGCAGACCGGGCCAGAACCACACGTGTGCGAGCCTCAACGTCCCAACCGTGAGTGAGCGAGTGTGTCAGGTTGAACAAGGCAGATAAGGGAAAATTTCTTATTGCAATTTTTTTCTGACTGATATTGAGGTTCCCATTTAAACTGCAGTAATTGTCCATGAATTTAGCTTCACGCCTGTATTTGTGGTCTGCAGCTTATTAAACAAGATATCACGAGTTTCCACAGTAACAGAATTATATAAATATTGCTGTTGCTTGTTGTTTAGCTTCTCCCATGTTCTTATTTTCTCTAACATCAGTCATTTAGAGAAAAGTTAACTTCTACATAAACATAACTATTTATATCATATACTATTATAACAGACATTTACTAAGATATTTATATACAGTATTAGAATACAGTATGGGTATTCAATTAAAATTCAAAGAGGTCTAGTTACACTACATTTCCTCAAGCAAATAACTTCTCTAATAATAATCAAAGGTTATTTTCCCATTTCAAGGAAATAAAGACTCTACTACCATCAAAGAGAGCTTTAAAAAACTTAATTTAATGAAATAAAAAGTAAAGCTTGAGTTTCCCTTTTCTATTTTTTGTTATCTCTTAACAGTCTCATAATAAATAATCTCATAAACATCTCAACAACTGAACAGCTTTAACACCCTCTTCTCTCTGTCTTTCCCTCTTATATCCTACTCCCCCACTTTCCCCACGTATTTCTCCAACTATCATCTCTCCCCTGTGTTTGTGTGTGTGTGTGTGTGTGTGTGTGTGTGTGTGTGTGTATCTCACTCACTGACACCTAGTCACAATGATCGGCTGCGCAGCATCATGTGACCAGAGCTGTAAAGGCTAGAAAAGCTGTGCTGGTTAAAATAAACACACTGTCAAAATGTAATAATTCTCAGTATTTTATAGGTTATAGGTCCGGCGGCCCACCTATTAGTGACCTCAGGAATACAGTATTCATAAGTCCTTTGAGGTGATAAGCTTGAAATGTTATCTGGGAAATTCTAACAACTCTGCAAGCTGTTAGTAATTTACCAAACTGCAGAGCTCCCTGTTAGCTAGTCTGAGGTGAATGTCAGGAAGTCACTCAGATCATTAATGTTGAAAAGCAGCAAAAAGACGCAGCCCACACCTTATTCTTTCAGAGCTGAAAATGACACAGAGTGGTGGTTCTTCTTCCACAAAACCATCTTTGGCTAAGCAGCAGCAGTCAAGATTTCTTTTTCAGAAAACTCACTGAATGAACATTAATTGACAGCAGTGGAGTAAATTTGCCAGAGACAGTTGTCATTGCAGCTGGAGAAACCAACAGTCACTGACTCAAACTGTAACCAGCTGCAGCTGGTTAAGACACTTCATAATAATAATTCATAATCAGCCCCCTAAACGTCTAACTCAGTCAGTCAGACAGAATTAAAATCCTACCGACTCAAAAATCCACAGTATCTGAGTGAGACTGAATTCTTTCCACCACATGCTCCTACTGCAGCTCTGAATACAATTCAGTTTTGGGACATAATTAAAATTACAATAAGTCTAGGTTTGTTTTCCTTCATATTTTCCCTCTTAATAGATCCCTTTTTTCAATGCATAAGCGAGAAGACTGCAAACAATAACAACTAACTATAATAACTAACAACTACAACTGCTGAGTCTGAGGGACGCTGGAGCAGAGTGTCCTCAGCACCATGTGAGCCCTGGTTGCACTGAGAGCGAGGTGAATTAAATCTGATTCCTTGGAGCTGACACAATGCGAAGTCAGTCAGCTTTATTACAAGTGATAAAACTGCCCATTTACTGAAGGCCTGTTAATTATGTACTTATGGAGAAATAAAGACATTATAGGAAATACAGCTCTTTGTAAATCTCACCAAATCCCTCAAAAACAAAAGGTTTTCAGTGACATTTTGTCTGACTCACCACGTTTATATCTTAAATACATGCCATTATTATACTGCTTGTATTATGCTTTTGTAATACATTCTAAAATGGGTTAATAAAAATAAGAAAACGTGCCACAAAGCTTCATTAAAAATACATCAGTGAGCTGCACAGTTGCACTGGGTGACGTGACTTGATAATGGTGAACATGTAGTTTGTTTTGAGTCAATCCCACATTCACTGTCCTGCTGCTGTAAACACTCGCAACACCACTAACGTGTGTATAAAACGGCCTGAAACAAAACAAACCCAAAAGCTCTCTGTTATCTACTTTGTTACTCATTGCAGCCCTTGTTGACCTTGAAATGACAAAGAACATGTAATCATTACGAAAGAGGTAAGTGTTTATCTATTCTACAGGGTAACACCATGAAGCTGAGATGAAGCTGGGTGATGCAGCAGCACAATGACCCTAAATATCAAAGTAAATCTACAACAGAATGACTTCAGACAAAGAAAATCCCTCTTTTGGAGCGTCCCAGTCTGAGCCCAGACCTTAATCCAGTAGAGATGCTGTGAAATGACCCGAAGAGAGCGACTCACACCAGACATCCTGAGAATATGTCTGATCTGAAGCAGCTCTGTAGAAAGAATGATCCAGAATTCCTCCTGACCTATGTTTAATGTGTGTGTGTGTCCAGAAAAGACACAAAAGATTATAATTACTTGTGTGACATTATCTCAGGGACACTGCGTTATGTTATGACCAATCAATGCAGAGAACCAAGTCATTCCAAAGGGTTAACATCCTTTTTCTTGCCACTTTATGTGGCATGTCCACTGTCACTCTGCCAGTGTTATTGCACTGTTGTCGTGACTCACCACTGACTATCATCCTGTCCTGAGGGCACAGTGGCATATCGAGCCTCCTACAGACACAGCGAAGAGGAGATAAGCTGAATGCCCTGAGGCCATCTGGGCTCATGGAGGGTTTACATACCTAGAGCACTGAACTGACGCACGGAGGTAGCTCGGGTCTTGTCGTGGACGCGGCTGAGACCGCAACCTTTCGGCACACTCCAGGGCGTTGTGCTGGCTCGGCTGTCCCTCTCCTCGGCTGTATCGTAGACCTCCACGTGGGGAGGGCGCTCAGTCAGGTTTTTGCTGTAATGGCTCAAACCGTATTGGGCAATCTGGATGGCATAGAAGTAGCCTTGAGGGCCCCACTGAGTGGACAGAGGCACGCCTGGGTGGAGAGGGAGGATAAGGAGAATGATGTAAAATTAAATAAAGAAAAAGATAGCTTCAAATACCAAGGCTGTGTTTTTTTTTCCCTGGTTGTTACTTTTATAGTGTTTTGAAATGCTTTTAAATCTTGTGCTTACACGAGCATCTTCTTTATGTTAAGGTTTTTCTTTGAAGCTCTTCGCTGACTATTTCAAGTGAATGCTCCTTTTTATGTGACAGCAACAATACAGCTTTTTTTTTTTTGCTTGAGGAAAGACTAAATCTGCTCAGTGCTGTGTCACATTGAGTTCATAACCATGGTCATATCAATAAAACTGCTACAAAATTAATTATTCATACCAAAAATACAAATTGTAAGACTTTTCAGTAATTGGATGAGACCGGTTATGGCAACAACAAAGATTCAAATATGGGCCTATTCTGTAAACACAGAAAACAAACAGAGAACAGAATTAAAAAAAGGCAGAAAAAAAAAGTTAAAAAGCAACACCACCAGCTGTGGTACATGCTTGGACGGTGTGGTGAAATCCAAGCTAATCTACAGCGTTTCACCGGAGGCGAGCTTCCCTCTTCACACAGCCAGAAATAGCTCAGGCAGGAGAATCACTCTGATTAACAGATAGTTCACTTAAAGACCTTGTGACAGAGCGAGCACCCGTGAAACCCAAACCCCATCCTTCTGAGAAGAAGAACATAATATGCTGAGATTAGGGCTGGTGGTAATGTGCCTCCTCCTTTCAAACTAACACACAAACCTGTTCTACTTCTCTTAACGACAGTTCTGCTGTTTTCCTGAACAGAGACACGTCGCAAAAAGACTCCATTTCATTTTGTTGTTCTCAAACGTACTTGACCAGTTGCCTGACCCCACAGTAATAAAACATGAGTGAAACTTTGTTTTTATAACACTTTCATACATAAGACACAGCTCAAAGTGCTTTAAAAAACCCAAAGAACAAACTGAACAACAGATAAAATGACTGGAATTGAAAGGCAATAAACCTTCACTAATGTTTTTGACTGTGAGACTAAATGTACACACTGGTCGCGCAGGAACATGCAGGAAAAAGTAACACATGATGCCATTAGTCTTTCGGTTCTTACTACCAATATATCAACTATATGTAATAGTTAAACAGAAAAAATATTAGAAATGATCTTACTGTTCTGGAGTGGTACTAATATCTACCTTTGGTCTTCCCACAGTGAGAACATGACATCACTTTTCACCTGTCAGTGAGCAGCTTTAGCAAAAACCTTCCATCCCTCCCTGATGCACCCTCTGCACAGGTCCCTCCTACAGCAGAAGTAGATGCAGTGACAGGAGCATGACCCCTCCCTGATGTCGCATCTACCAACACTGGTAATTTGGTTCAATGGCCTGTCCAACCACAGCCACATCACTGAGGACTCAACCCGGGTTTTTGAAGTGGTGAATGGGACATCTGCACCAACCCTGTTCTATTTGCATATTTTGATGGAGTTTATGCACATTGCTGTGTATGTACATTGTATGTGCATGCTTTGGATAAAATGCTTTGACTTCGCAGACACAATGTCAGCTTCTTAATTGTAGAGTGGCATGTTCAGCCATTACATGTGTTGGATGAATGAATGGCACAGAGTCAGAGGATTTTTACCCATTACCAATTTTTGCTTTGGATCTGTTTAGAGACAAAGTGCTCAAACACTTGCTCAGATTAATTAGCGGTTGTTTTGTAATGTATTTACCATAATGCACTTAATTACAATAATTTTCCCTGACATAAGACAGTGTAAGTCCCTATGAGTGTTAGAGTCGTGCGCAATATGCTTGAGTGAAATCATTTTAATAGTCAGCAACAATCACAGCACACCCTGTTTCATTTCAAACATCCCCAAGTGATGCATCTGAAATATGCATTTTCTTTGACCTTTACTCATGGAGCATGAATTTATGTTCCATTCTATTAGTTTATATTTAATGGGACAAGTACAGAACACGGATCAATGTCAGATTCCACAGTGAAGAAGTAAAGTCCCAGAAACACTTCCTGATTGAGAACTGCAAACATTTGATTAATGTGTTCATAAAAGAGTGAAAAGAAAGAAAGAAACGCACCCAGGCTCAAACTCTCCATCCCCACACAAACACATATACTTCCAATCCCCTGCCAGACTTTCCTCCATGCCTGTCTTGTTACTGGCATCTCCCTTGACAACTTAAGTCAAATGACTGTCAAAATCCTAACACTATAACACTGCGCTACTCACTGAATAACGCAAAGTAATCCATGTGGAATTGACTGTTAAGCCCCCCACATATTTTCATGACTCCAGAGAGCGGACTAGAACTTGAAATCTGAAAAACTAGGTCCTCTGCCAATTACAGCAGGTTCTAAGACTACTGAAGTTAATATAGCAGAAAAAAGTGCCACACCATCTTATTGTTGTGCATCAGTATTCCTCCTCCTTCTTCATCACTCGCTTTATTTTTGACCTCTGGGAGGTCAGGGAAAACTTGTGCGTGTAGACATCAAAGCTGATTTAAGCAATATGTTCAATATTAACAATGTGTCATATGACAGAGTCGATTACTGTGAATTAAGACCCAACTCAGTAGGTTCCCTTAGATAAACTCTTTTCAAGCAAACAAGCTCTCACTGTGAAGACCCAAAGTAAACTGGTGGAGAAATCACAGCATGTTGCTGGAGCTGGTGGAGCCCAAAGCAGAGCTAAAAGGCCAGTGAATATTGGACATCTTTTTTTGCATTTTTTTTGTCAACACATTAGCCATATACAACAACTTGACAAACCAATGGTCTATTAGGGCTGTGTTTTTTATTATTTCTGCCTCCTAGTGGCTAAAACAGCTTAATGCACCTTTAATATTTGCATTACAACTGGATATTCTCATATCATTTAACACTTTCTTTATTTAGTTTGATATTACACTTCTTGCTTCTTGCTGCTAAACACACAGGGACTGAACAGATTGCAGCAGCTAGCTGTAACCCAGCTGTATAATGTAATTATATGAAAATCACATGCACTGTGGGTGCAAGCCTAGGCACAAATGAAAAGACTAACGCCTGCACACCGACTCCAAGCCATAATTTTATTTATTTTTTGACAATACACAGATTGAACTGGGATCAAAATGTTGTCTATTTAAATGAGGTTGATGGTTTGGAGTCGGGGCTATAACCACAACAGTTTGCAACAGTGTCCTGGATTCTGTTCACAGACTATTCTTCCAAGGCCCCTCTGTCTTCTCTAGAAAGTGCTATATTTATCTTTTTCAGCAGGCTGAGTGTGCACAGGGGTTACGTTAAGAGAGACCGGGCATCATGTATGTGTTTGTGCCAAGAGTGTGTGTGAGAGTGTGAGCATTTTATCAAGCACTTAAAAGACGTGTTTTAGGAGTGTGTGTGTTTGTGCAAAATGTTTAAGAGATGGTGGTCTGCAAAAGAAAGGAGGAGCGAAGATAAAGGTGGTTAAAGAAAAAGCAAGAGACCCAAAAAACGACAGATAGTGATTTAAGAGGGTGTTGTTAGAGAGGATTATCTACTTCCACTAATGATAGTGCCCTGGCTGCTGGAGCTTCATTTTTCTCAGCTACTGTTCTTTGTCTCATGGAGGCTCCGGTGAAGTAACCCTCTACTATTACACCACGAGCCCTCCAGGAGATGTGACAAGTAATGACACATAAAAGTGCTGTACTCTTTAAGTGTTTCATGACTTAATATTTTTTTTCATCCTAATAGTATCACAGTTTAAAGAAACAAGTAACTGCTACAGTTTGAGATATCAGTACAATTTAAGTGGGTGTCCAGTGCTAGAATGCTACAGGGATGTACAAGGGTCATTACAGCATTTAATGCATACTGCTGAGGGTCCTGTTAAAAAACTTTTCCATTGGTGCATTGGGAGAGAAATGCTCCCATGACCTTGATTAAGCCCTGAGGTACCTCTGACTGTGACAGGCTAATTAATGAACTGCTATTTTCACCTATAAAAATATGCTAAGTTGAAAAGAGGTGTGCATGTTTGCGGGTGTGTAGTGCTACACAGCAATGAGCCTTGGGCTTAATTAATAGACCTTGATAAATTGTGTGTGTGTGTGTGTGTGTGTGTATGAGTGCATGTGTGAAATTGTGTGCGTCTGGGAGTGTTTCCTCAGTTCTGTACTAAAAGAAACTGTCTGCAGGCAACTGCAAGGTGAGAATAACTTCCTGCTCCTCAGCCCACAGGTACTAACAGATTTGGCTATATTCCTATCTGACCCAATTTCCACTCTATATGTTCCCTCCCACACATGTGCTGTAGTGGGCCACAACTATGGTAAGAGTAACATAATTTGTCTCCCATAAAGGTCATTGAGTGGGACAGCACTTCTCTAAAAAGTACTGAGAACTACAAAAATAAAACAATGCAATTTAATAAAAAACAACCAAAGTCAATAGAACTAATAGAACAACCTCTGACCTACCTCACAATTCAGGAGTATATGACAAAATGATATTAATGCTTCTAGCAGATTTTAATATGAAGAAAACTACCGTGTGGCTCTGTTTGTGTGATGAACAGAAGAGAATATTTCTGTCAATACGTAAAAAAAAAAGGCCAATGTAGGAAATTGCACCATCAATCTCAGCAAAAACACCAATTTACTGCTGGCAAATTGTTTTTACAGACACTGGCTATGATTACTCATCAAGCTAGTGAGTGGAAAAGGAGTCAGGACTGTGGCCCAATAACTACGAATCACACCCCTTCTGTCATTTTCCCTGATGACAGTGATAGGTTTGAATCTTTAAGGGAAGGTTTACGGGGGGTAGCTGCTTTATTTTGACTTCCTGGTGTGATAGTATTTATTTTCTCTTACCGGTGGCTTTAACTATTTGACAAAAGGGAAGGATAATGAATATCTATTTTGTAATTTCAGGCAAGTATGAAGGACCACTTCTTCAAGCCAGTGGGGCACAGAATATATTGCTGATAATGTGGTTTAAACTAATAGCCTTTTAAAATGAGCTATTGATCCTCCCTGGCAATTATTTTAAAAGGAACCTTGAAAAGAAAACAGCTTGGAGGTTGGACAGAAGACGTGAAGGAGCAGGGAAGGATACATTCACTTATCCGAGATCCAGCAAGATGTCTATACAAAGAAATGGAGACGGCGTCTGAGTGAAGAAATAATACATTTTTAAACCTGGTTTGATGGTGTTAGTTAAAGAAAGAAAAGTTAATTGCATTCAGGAATGGATGGCGGAGACCGTAGGCAGGTGCTTTGGAAATATGATCTGATTTTAAATCACATCATCGCATTTACGATGCATCACTTTGCTGAACTAGAGCCTCATTAAGCAAATCACATATTTCTTAGTTATATGGGGTTTATTAAAAAACTTAAAAACATATCAACATTCATCATTAAATGTGTTTGTAAATGTGTATGTATTTGGTCTCAATAAAACTAGATTCATGTTGCGTGATGGTGTATATTACAGAACAACTGCCGCAAACTGGAGGTTTACTTTAGTTATCATGAAAGGGAAATACCATTGAAAAGTAAATCCAGACTGTAGTGAGATATGTGTTTTGTTTAAATGATTTGCACGTTTATGTTGGAAGTGTATTTGCATGTTGAATATTTGATGCTCCTGTATCTTATATCATGTGAAAAAATAAAAGATAATTGTTTGTCGTCAGTCTGCGGGCATTTTTTCCCATGAAATGGGACAGCTGATCTTGACCGTGCACACCTGACACTTATCGAAAAGTCTGGATTCAAAAGCACGTTGACTTTCACGTTTGCTTCTCGAGCATCTAAAAACACAGTAAAACTTTGGGGTTTTTAAATATAATGGTATTCAGATGCATAGCAGCTCCATTTTGTGTACCTCTGTGCTCAACTGTGTTAACATCAATAATAAAAGTCTTACCTTCCACTCCACTTATACACTTGACACGGTCGCGGACCTCCACGTTGTATCCCTCAAACGACATGAAGACTCCATCGGGGTGGTAGGGCTCCCGCTGCGTGTAAACCTTTGAGTAGCTGTGCTGGAACTCGAAGCGATCGTAGCCGTCGTACTGCACCACTTTGCCGTACACCTCAAAGTATTTTTCCATCCAAGTGAACGGCAGGTAGATCTCGCCGCCCTCTCGCCGCCCTTTTATGGTTGATTCATCGTTGATCAGGCAGTCAATTTCTTCATACTTGACCCCACCTACAACCCCAACGACAGGCGGGGGCTCTGGAGGTTGTGGAGGGTGCTGTTGGCTGCTGATGCTGGCATCGCCCACCTTGGGACTTGGAGCCACCAGGGCGGCACGAGGCAGGAAGCGTACGGCGGTGTCACTGGAGCATCGGTTCCACAGCAACACGGTGATGAGTGTGAAGAGGGCGCAGATGACGATGAGGGTCTTGTAGTTGACCCGAGCAGCCAGGCAGCGCATGGTCGCAACTCACCTGTGTGACACAAACACATGGGATACATAAGAAGCCAGTAGGATCCATAATTCAGTGACAGTCATTATATGTTACTGAATCCTTATTATCATTAGAGAACAAAGGACGAAGTGTGAAGAGTGCATATCTAAATAAAATGACCTCAGTACAGTCCATAACACACCACACAACTTTCACTGGGAAGAAAAAAAGAAAAAAGAAATTTGACAAAGAGTACATTTACATGAATACAAGATGTTTTCGTCTGAGCATTTGTGCGGACAATGCCGGCTCTGTGGTGCGAGTGTACAGTTTGTCCTTCCAACAAGAAGGTTTCTGAATTTTACAAATAGTCAAATGTTTAGCAGAAATCGCTTGAGCAGGAAACTGCCTTATCTAGACTTCTAGAGGCTTAGTGTCAGCTTCGGTTTTAGTCAGACTATGAATAAAATCATTTTGAAAACAAGGATGCATTGTTGTGTAATGATCGTGTGAGTATGAGTGCATATAAAAAGCTGATTAGAAACACTGTTACACATATCCAGGTCCACAGCACCAGCTTTCTCCAGGAGGTGAGATGATGTTTAAAGAAAAAAAACTGACTGTGACCTGATGTAAATTCGTGACCTCTGAACGACATAACAGCACTCTGCTCTTTTACAATAAGTTTAATTTTCTAGATCAGTGAAAAGTCAGTTGATTCATATTAATGAGGTGGATAGTAATAAAAAATAAATAAATAAAAGTAATGTAATGCAAATTCATAATGCTGCATGGTACATGGCACAGTCGAGTGTAGCGTACAACTCTCATTCTTACATGAAACATTACATAAACCCAAGAGAGAGCTGCTTGGAACAACTTTCCTTAAATAGATGACAAGTTGTAATTTGTATCAATCTCATTCCTGCTCCCTTTTGTTTGCTGAGGAGACGTCCAGCTGGGGATGAGTCATAAGCACCGAAGCAGGACAGAGCTGGTGAATGTAGAGTCTGTTGCTAATTAAGACTGTATACTGCAAACAGAGGCAAACTGTGTGTGGTCGCACATGCAAAATTGCACGTTTGTGACCAATGAGAAGCTCTGGATTGTGCTTTGATTACCACTGTGTGCATGTGTCTCTTTAACTACCCAACAAACAACCACTGTCTGCAACAGACTAACAGTAGACTTCAGTAGACTTATTTATTCAATTCTTATTTTGGGTAGATTTCAAGTTACTTCTGCTTCTCACTGAAACTTACAAACTTTTCTATTCGTTCAACATTTTGGGAAATAATGATAATTTGCTGAGTGATGAAAACACTGACACCACTGTCATGTCCAGCTGGAGCCCGCAGCAGGTTAGCTTAGCATAAAGACTGGAAATAGGTGGAAACAGCTAGCATAAATCTGCCCAAAGGTAACAAACTCCGCCAACCACAACCTCTAAAGCTCACTAATTAACATTTTAGATTTTGATTGTTTGTGTTATTGATCTCATCTAACTCTTGCCAAGAAAGCAACTAAGTATTTCCCAATATTACTTCTCATTCAAACTGGATCTCCAATCAATTTCCACTAGACAAATCTAAAATTAATTTTAAGGTTCTTTTATTTTATTTCAAGCACTGAATGAAATAAGGCACCAAATTCCAAGTTTCTCCTAAGTTATCCACCGGTCCAGTTGGATCTCGTACAACACACAAAGCCAATCAGACGTGTTAGCGGACTGGTCTGGATTCACGTCTTCATGTCCTCTGCGTGTCTCTGGTGTTTTCACCAAGCCAGCAAGAAATCAATACACACATTGAAGTCTCCTCCTCCACACTAATTACAGCTCATAGAATTTACCATTACAGTGATAACAGAGCTGATGACAGAGGACCAACCGAGCCACTACTAAAGGTCAGCTCAATTATTGTGCATTAATTGGACAATAGTAATCAGCTATAGCATTGCAGAGTCAAATGGTAGTGCGAGCAGCCTCTCGGACAAAGTTAATGTTTTAGATGACTCTTAAATAGGAAAGTGGACCTCCACAGTGCTTAACAAGCAAATGTTGAGGGAGTGCACGTTAGTGCACTTTTGTGTAATAAAGGGATTTATATGTGTCTAGTAAAAGAGCCAGGGACATATTTTTTTCCCACTACATAACTGATTCATTTCTGTTCGACAAGAAAAGTAGAAAACCTTTTAAATACTTTCTTTCATAGAAGCTCTACTTTAAAACTTTTTGCTGTTGTGTTCTAGTCAGTGGAGGAAAAAAAAAAAGCTTTGGTGGATCTCTGTGCCTGATAAATTATTGCCACACATAAAAACTATCATTGATACTTGGAGAAATGTCAGCCTGGTGCAGTAATGAAAGATTGGGCCGATGGGAGCTCTGTCAATGCTGAAAATGTGAGGCGGAAGGCCTGGGGACTGCACCCTGAAAGATAAGTAGGACCAGCCTGTCAGGGAACCAACTATAAATAATTGGCTCGTTTTATGTGATTCGTCGCTTGTGTTGAGCTCAGGCTCAAGGTGGATAGACATGGGCTTAAGCACTGCAGCATGGAGAGGATCCTAATACCTCGCAATGACTAGGAGACAATTCACAAACACAATTTACCCTGACGCCAGAACAGTATACACACTGGGATAGTTAATGTCGCGGGGAAGCAAATTACAAATGCAGTTGGTTTTTGGATCAAAAATCATGAATGCTCTGATTCAGGTGATCTCAATCTGTCTCATTCACATCTGACATACAAATAAGCGTTTGCCTATTTGCAATGTGGTTTAAACTAGTTCCAGAGGCTGAAAAAAACAAGGAACTAACTGGAGACATGAAAATTTCTTATCAAAAAAACAAGAGAAAGACAGAGAGAGAGAGAGAGAGAGAGAGAGCGAGAGAGAGAGAGAGAGAGAGAGTGCAGCAACAAAGCTAAATTCAACAGCAACTAAAACTTTATTTGTTCCATATTTCATTGCAATTAATTAAAAATAGCAGCAGACAAAACTCAGTAACATTCAAACAGATTAACGAGATATATGACACACTGTTGAAAAGTCACTTGTCAGGCGATGACTTATTTGGCAGGGAGACGTGCAAATATAAAGCGTGTTTTATTAAGGAAGAATCCCATCTTGACACAGTTAATATGCTCAAGAAATGGGTGTCAACCTTCTCACACCAGGGCGGTGACATGGCCCTGTCCTAAACCTGTCTTAAAAACCCATTTTCATAAAAAGGCTATTATCATTATCATTATAAACCAGGCCTGCCTGTAAATGCGTGCTGGCTCTTAATCAGTGAGTTAGAGGCAGCCCAAACTTGGGTCCACGCTTTATCTTCCTCTGTTGCTTATCGTCCTCCAGTGGCTGCATGTCACATCTGATACAGTTTATAAGGGAGAACACGTAATATGAATTCAAGGACAGAACTGAAATCAGGCTGTTGCAGGTAACTGGTATAAGCGTTATGGAATGCTCACATGTGCAGAATCAAAAGCTGGGACAGCAAGAGACTGGTATTCATAAGCTGCTTTCACACATGCACGCCAACCCTGAACTTTTGTAGACATTCCCACCGAAACTGAGGCACAGAGATGCTTACAACTCTGCTCCACTCGTGGAGTTGGGATCTCATTCAGCATAAAAACGGTACTGCAATGCCATTCAGTATTGCCCACAACACGTACCACGAGGTAAAAAACGACCGCGAATAAAGCTATTCAGTGCGGTGGAGCTCGGGCGAAACAGCACAGGGTCATCCTACAAAAAAGTCGAACCCAGCTCAACGGTTGCTGCAACGCAACATCATCCGGTGAGGTGCTGTGTTAACTGCACAAATACATGCACGCACACATCTCTGCTGGAGTATTATAAACCTTGCCACAGCGTTGTGGCATCTGATGAATCTTTTAACACTTTTATTCAAACTGCACTTCCTGGACCTTAACAACATGCCCCCCCCCCCCGTGTTGCTTTATTTCAGGGCTGCAGCATCCACACAAACAATAGTAACTTTTTATTTTATGCCGTGTTCACGAAGTTGATATGAAAAATTCAGTTTAACGCCGTTATTGATGTCCTGAGTTTTGACAGACGAAGATGTAAATCTCATCAGTTGCCAATGCACAAGTTAATTACAAGGCAAACAAACAACATTTAGCTAGTTACGCTGACAGTAGCTGCATTGTCTCTGGTGTATTTTGACCCAGATTCACTCACATCTATTAGGAGTCGGCTCTCAGTGGAAACAACAATATCGGTTGTTTTATTCAAAAGACTTGAATGACTTATGTTTACATCTTCCTGACAAGCAACTGAGTGAGACGGTCCTCGCTCAGTAGCAAACAAAGTTATACGACTACCAAACCCAAGTTAGAGCGGTTATTTGAGAAACAAGAAAAACACTTGACCCTGCCATCTTCTTTTTTATTTGTTTATTTTCCCGTAAAGGAAATCTTTACCTAATGACAACAATTGTTTACTGTCGTTTAACCAAGCAGCTTTACTTACCTAAACTTCATCAGACATGAACTCTAGATCAGAAAGATCAGCTTATGCATACGCATGATTTTTGTTTTGTCATTAGGTACGATGACTAGCTGTTTATACAATATGGATGGGTTTTTGTGTAATCCACTGGTTATCAGCTCACGGGAAGGTTTGCATAGATATAATCCCACTGGTAATAACACTGTTTGGATCTGGAAGGAAAACTACACTGACATAAAAAAGATAGATGCAACTAGACAGGAGGTGAAAGGCAATCCTGTTGGAGGATAAAAGTCCTCCATGCTTGACAGATAAAGGCAAAAGACACTGGAAAACAAAAGCAGCTTTTCAGCTTACATGCTCCCAGTGTCCTACCTCAGGAAATTGAAAAGTGCCTGAAATAGCAGGTAGTGACTTGGTGAGACTTGCAGATTTTTATATGATGGTCTCAGGCTTTGTGAGTACCTGAACAATAAAAACTACACCATGAGCATTGATAAATGCAGGGGAGACAGAGAAATGAAGGAAGGCGTGTGCTTTAAAAAAAAAAAAAAATCATTTGTGTTTTTGCAAACATAAACTCTTATTTCACCAATTTCACTGGCATTCACTGGATTATTTAGAGGGGAATAGTTGTAAAACACATTTTCTCATATTAAACAATAATGAAATTAATCAATAATGAAAACACTCATTGCAGCCCTAGAGATATAATCACCATCACAGCAGCATTATATTTACTGATAACTAAATACAAAATGGTCTTCTTACAATATGCTCATCACAGCAAATTGCTGGTAAGTCACGTCTGACTTAAGCTCTATGGTCCCTGGATGATAAATGCTACATGATATTGTTGACAGCTCTACACTGTGGTTGCATGATCCAACAGACTGACAGGACGAGCAGCTTCACAGTCCTCCTGACAACCTGACGTCCCAGAGCGCTCACATGTCCAATAATACACTGCTTTTTTCGCTGCTTCTGCAAATCATCAAAGGCTTTAGACTTTGATTGTGAGCATTTGCCTTGGAGCTGTGATGAACTGTAACATATGTGGATCTGCAGCTCTGTGGATACCCTGACGTTTGCTTCATCAAATGCAGGAAGTGATCCCCCGGCTTAAAACTGTGGGTATTAATTCTGCCAGACATAGATAACAACTAATAACACATGCAAATATTTGGATGTCTTTATCCCCCAGATCCCTGGTAATAAAGCTGGGAAAATTGTAGCGGGCATCTTATACTACCAGGTGTTTGTTTATAATGAGAAAGTGTTTTCAAAAAACATCTCAGTTTGAGCAGTGCATGAAATCAAATCTTTCCAAAGGAAAAAAAACACATCGTGACCTTGTTAAATGCACTTCGAGTCAAACTAGCTGCTAATCTCCGTCTTGGTCCCTGGTGCAGAATGTACAACATTTACAACATTGTCAAAACTGCTGCAGCACTCGGCATAGCAATGGGTGAATGGAGTTGTTTTTCTTCTACTGCTGTCCTCTGACGTAAAAATCACAAGCCGTCATCACAGCAATAAAAGCTGAGTGCTTGTGAACCACCCTTGGGGAGCTATTGGAGCAGAAACCTGGTGTATGTGTGAGGTGCAGGTGTTGTAGCCCTAACTAAACTCCTGACATTTTCACTGCTCTCCTCCACGGGTGAAGTAAGGAAGGAGTTTGAGACTGCCTGTAAATTATCAGCTTATGCTGAAGCTGTGAGGCACGTTTGCTCTTGTGGAGATGGGATGGTTTGTGTGGGTCTGTGTGTATGTGTGTGCATATGTGTTGTGGGCGTCTGATGTGGTTCTGAGCCTGATTATGATAATGTGTAGGAATCAGGGTGAATTCAAGGCAGCAACTGACAGGGGAAAAATGACTTGTATCTTACTACCACTTAATGTGTGAGTTAAATGACTATAAATCTCTTTTGTTACCTGTTGCAATACTCACACTCTAGTAAAATTCACTGGGGAACCCTCAGGGCCTTCAGACGGCCAAACGTATCAGCATTTTAAATGTTATATTTAGTCTCTTTCATTTAACAATTATCCTCTTCTAAATCTAATTTTAGCCTTATTTTCTATCAAAGTTTTACCGTCCTAAAACCAAGAAAATAAAGTTATCCAGTCACAGTCATCTTTTTTTTGCCTAGCGAGAAAAAAGGTAGCTAGCTGACTCATTGGTTAGGGCTTCATAACCGGAACAGAAGGCCTGAAGCTCAATAGCTGCATGTGTTTGTTTAGAAAGTGACAGGTGAATTAACCAATCAGATTTTGAGATATAGCGGTGGGACCACAAATCATTGGGGGGGCTGTAGCATAGAAGGCCTTGCCCTAATGCTCACAGTTCACCACCGGTAAAATGATGCATTATGTTATTGAAAGAAACTATTCAAAGTGTTGGTCAATAACATAAACCAAGATATTTTAACACTCCCTCTCACACATGAATAGTAAATTTCAACAGCATGAGCAAAAATCATTAGACCTTGTTTCGTAAAACGTCTGTAAACTACAAGGTTGAGTCAAACATATCAAAGCTGGCACTGATCTGAGGTCAGTTATCGAGCTGTTAACGTTTACATTCAACATTCAGCTTAACATTTCCACGGGTTCTAACAGACTTTTGTACCCTACTGTATGTCTGCAGCTCACCTTCGCTTCCGTATCACAAAGTAAACAAAAGAATGTAAACACAGTTACTGCGGGGAATATGAAGCACGATACGGGCTGATCATTTACAACACATACATCTTGTGTTGCAGAGGTGATTTCAGCAGAAGAAATCCGACTCTCAGCTATAAAATCAAATCCTACGACTATAAATCAAAAGCTATGCATATAAATCAAAACCCAGAGAACTCCTGTTAACCCCTTGTGTGGACCATCCAGCTAAGTCACTTGCTAGTGTGTAATATGGCAAGTCAAGACTGTAAGAAGACAGTTTAACTGGACCTGTGTGTAAAGTAAAGATAGTAACCAGGACAAGTAAATCAATTCAATTTTATACATTTAGTGCAGAATCTGCAGTCACCTGTTTCAGCCTTGCCATTGTGTCTGCAGACCCTCCCTCTCTCACGGACTGCAGCTAACGCCACACAGCTGCAGTCACAGTGAGCAGAGGTCTGCATATTCATAGGGCAGCATTGGAGACTTGCTTCAAGCAAAACTGCCAGTTGTACTGTCACTAATGTCTGCCAAGCTGTCATTAGATTTGTTAGTGTGTCTTTTATATAAAGTTGCTAAAAGGTTATTAAGAGTCACTAATCTTCACAATGTCATCTCAATTAGTGGATTAATCATTTAGTCTATAAAATGCTAGTAAACAGAGTAAAAACTGATCACAGTTCACTGAATCCCAATGTGATGTCTACACATCTTGTTTTGCTGCTCAACGGCTCCAACCCCAAAATATTCACTTTACTAAAACATGAGGTAAAGGAAACTGGCAAATCCTCAAACTGAAAAATGACTTAAAATGATTAACCAGTTATGAAAATAGATTCAGATTAATTTTCTGTCATTTGAGAATCAAGTCACTGTGACACAGTTGCATATTTCATGTAACACTATGGTGGTTTCGAGTGTGATCACCATCACCAACTGTAAAGTATGCACAAGTTTAGGACAAAAACCTTGGTGTTACTCCACCTCCTTTCTTCCTGCATCACTCAAAGGAATGGCTCAGCTAATAAACCAACACAACAGGCCAACACATAACTCGCCATTACTGCTCAGTAATACAACTTTGTTTAGAGGCAGCCGAGAAGTGAGTAAACTGCTTTGAAGTTAATGTGCCTGTGTGTTTTATCTCTTGTTGGGGGATTAAGCAGGTCATTACCAAAAAGCTTATAACTGTGGCCTACTGAGGGATTAAGCGGACTCTTAATCAAATGGAGGGGAGACAAGAGAAAAATATATGCATCATTTTAGGAGGCAGGTCATGCAAGCTGCCTGCCCTACAACATCATAGAAACAAATGTGGACCTAAGAAACATGTGGCGTAACAAGCTAAAAGCTAAGAAACAAATGGTAGAATGTGGTGCACATGGTCTACAGGTGCTGCAACAAGTCGGACAGTTAGGGGGGAAATGGCGCTGTATGTCAACAATAGTCTAACTATTTTGTTTTAGGCTAACAAAAAAAACAACAAACTGCATTCCAATTATGTTGTATATCCACATATGAGTGTGATTATACTAGTGCTGTATTGGGGTGTGTGTCAGCGCCTTAAGTCCAGCAGCATCTCTTCATGCAGACACAATTACCCGAGTTATACAAGCTAATGCACCCAGAGTTAGTTCAAAGAGCTCTGTCGTTCCTTATGCAATCAAAAATGATTCAGTGATGACAAGAGGAGGAATGCAGGGCTTAGGGGGACTTGTTACAGCCATGCTTTTTCGTTTCATCATACAAGCAAGACCAGGCCATTTTCACAGTGGATATAAGAGTATGCAGAAGATTTAATTTGTCCATGTAATGAAGTCTAGCACAAATCTGCATGCAGAAGAGGTTACACTGCATATAGAGCATGTTATCTAATTTCATCAAACGAAATTAGCCATTGTCACAACTCAGTCATAATAAAAGAGTGTGCATGAACAAACTATCTACACAAAGAAACAATAAATAATAAAGAATAACCTCCTCTGCATGGGCTAGTTGTCACTCGACAGTGAAGACTTACACTGACCTCTAATCCATTCACAAAGAAGCGCCCAACATCCTCTCAACGTTCACCTCCGAGTCTTGACACAGCTGGTTCTTCTGGTACTTTCTGCTTGCAGTTTCCTCAGCACCTATACATGAGAGAGGAGAAAGTAGATTTCCACTACTGCAGAAGTGATGTATGAAGGCACATAAACATACATCCACATCTGTATGCATGACAAGCAAGTGCATGTACTATATATGAGGGTATGTAAAAGAGCCTGACCAAGGCTGAAAACGATATTGATAAACAATAAATTACTTCAAACCTACTCCGGCACTACGATTAACTTAACACCTGCCTACTGCTTTTCAGGGTCACATGGAGGTTTTGGTCGAGCCTATCTCAGGACGCACCGAGTTAAAGTTGGAAAAAAATGCTGGAAAGGCGGCACGTTCACAGGCTCAGTTCAATCAAGTAGAATATTCACATATCTGGCAAGGTTTAAAGCGGCAGTCACAGTTGCTGATCAGCTGATAATCACGCAGAGGAATGAATTCTTCAGTACGCCGTGCATCTCGGTTTAAGCAGGCTCTACATTTTTCACATGAAATCCTTTGACAGGCTAAATGTTTCTGGAGCTAAAACATGACTGATTGCCTCAGCATGCTAAGCAGCTTCTCAATATAAACTTTTTTCTGAGGGAAACAAAATGAACTGTTGTATTTCTTTTCCACTGTGGCTAATTATAACCTTAAATCAATGGTCCATAGACTTTGACACTGATGCACTACAAACTAAGATGAGGAAACAAATTCATATTTGTAATTGCAGCCATGATGAATTTATAGGCTTTCTGACAGCAGGGTCATTAATGTACAACCAATCTATCAGTGCAAATATGCAGAGAGTGACATGGATACTTTACTCTGCAATTAATCTCACCAATGTATTTCTAGCCCCCGTTGAAACAGGCTATTAAACTAAAGAAGGTGCTAAATCGCCACATCAAAGAGAGCATATTGATCTTTTTATGAAATGGGCTTATTGACAAAGCACTTAAATTTGTTGAAAATTAAACCAGCTGGCTTTGCTTCTGCCATTGCAGGCTCACTGCTGGAAGAGAAAATAGACAGAGAAGGCAAGGAATAAAATAAGTCCAAAACAACATTGGTATTTTACATTATGATGCAGTCTAATTAGGGATGAGTTAAAGGAGTCGAAGTACCAATTATTGCTATTGCTGTAATTAATCCCAAATCAATATCAGATGATACACATTTCTGCTGTCTTCAGTGTTAGTCTGTCAGATACAGGCAAAGTATTGAGCTGAAGAATGTAACAGTAAAAGATCAGAGCACTGATGCCTAGCTGACTGACTAACTAAAACTCCCTCATTAACATACAACAGCTGACAACAGCTTGTCTGGTTCAAATAAGTAACTACAGAAGATGCAGAGAGACCAGCTTTCCAGCCTCTCTGTCAGTCTGTCTGTCTGTACCCCAACCCCGGCAGAAGAGGCAAAATCCCAAAAATGAACAAAATTAATTCATGTTCAAAACCTGTAGCGAACAACCTGCTTATTCGATCCATACTGCATAAGGTTTGCAAAAGAAATTCAATTTTATTTAAATCTTTCTGACCTAATATCACTGTGATGACACACTGGGAGGATGTGTGCGTTTGTGTGTAACCTGCCTTCATCTGAAAGATGGAACATGTTGTACCCAGCCCGAGTGAAAAGGAAGTATAAATGTCAGCAGTCTTAATCAATATTCCCTGGCTACTGTTTGGGCGTACTGATGCTTTTTTGAGGCAGGTGTGCTGCAGGCAGATGGTGAGAAGTAGAAAATGAGAGTAAATGTCACCCTCGCTCATTCTTCCAAGAGCTTATCCTGCACCACTCCTGCCATCTAGGCACTTTCTAGGCAACATTTCATTTCACGTATCTCCTCTCTCTGAACATCTGGTTATCTGCCTGTACGCCTTAAAGAAGCATCTCAACTGAGTCAGGAGCCAAAATTAGATGGTCAAGAGTAACATACTAATCTATACCTTTATGGGTAGCCATGCAAAATAACACTTATCTGTGTTAAACCAAAAGGACCATTGCACAGGAAGTTCTGTTTCCTTTCCACTGAACACTGAGAAGTCAAAGGGGCCGAGTGTGGATGTGCCACTAGCTTTCTCAATGAGGAATCTCTTCCTAGCACACTTTTTCCCAGGAAAATAAAACATATTTGGCTTCATCTGTGTTTTATAGTGGAGGCACCCCACCTTGTCTGAATAAAAGAACACCTTCACTTTCAACAGATTAAATTGTGACAAATTTATAAAATATAATATTGAACTCATTAAGCTTTAGTGGAAATGAGCGGTGGCGCTACATAACACAGCCAAGGTCACATATTAGATCAGTGAGGTGACTGTTTAGACCGTCATCTAGTAACTACACTGATAATGAGATAAAATGCAGCAGGAACTATCTGATTTAGCACAGCAGGGGATCGATAACCAACTCTGCTAACCAGTGTTATGTGGGGAAACTCTGAATATAGACAGATCTTTTACAACAATGTTTAAATATCTGAATTTAAAATGCTGTCAATAGACTGTCATTTTTATTGATTGTGACACTATATATAAAAGATGTCTTGGTCGGGTCCTGTTTTATTCAAAACACTTCTTATCTTCAATAAATGTTTATCCAAAAATGAGTGTTACCAAAAAAAATACACCAGGAAAAAGTAGCTGAAGGACTTTTTGAGGTTTTCTGGTATTTACCAGAAATTTGGATATTTGATAAAAAATGAGCGCCTTGGCTATGATACAAGCTATTTATTTGAAATATACTCAAATACACTGCACTAACATCAGACTGGATGATGAAGGGCTTCTTTTTCTAAGAGATTTTCACATGTGAAATTTCCAAGAAGTTTTATTTCTAAAGTTGAAGTTGAACCAGGGCAAAATATTACAGAAGGAGTTACAGAAATAGTCTCTTAAGGATGTGTAATCAAAGGTAGTGAAAGCCAAGCTGCACTCTTCAAGGTGGCTTAGCATGTAGCTCTCCAAGCTTGCACTGCACTGACACCATTTTCATAGCCTTTACATACTGTCCCATTCAATTGACCTTTCTTAAGCAAGGCGCTGACACCTTGAATATGAATCATGAACATCAACTTTATGGCTCTCTCCTGTGAATACATTTTGAACATTAGGCTGAGGATATTTCTTTAACGGCGGCTTGACTGAGAATGATATTAGGTCATTAATTATTTTAGTCGCTCTTCATTTGCTGCCACCCTGACACAAGCAGACATCTATCAGGACTTGTACTCGGGGTAAAAAGAGAGATGGGGACCCATCTGTTGGGCATTCATAATACATATATTTTCTCTGGGGAGTCAGTGGCTGGCCAAACATTGAATGATCACACCACTGATGCCACCACGGTGCCAGCTATCACTGACCATCTGATGCCCAGAGCAATATCCAAGAACTCTGCAAAGTGAAGAGCTCAAGTAATTGAGGTTTCTGCTTGCAGAGTTGGAGCAAATTGATTAAATGTGATCACTTCTTACCTCACATTTCATCAACTTTAACAGCTTTACGGTCAAAATTCAAAGTGAGTTCAATACCAAAGCAGTCATTGGATAAAAAATAGCCTGCTCTTTTTCCAGGTGCTGTCTGCCTGCATAGAGTAAATGATGTGTTTTTGAAAGTACACATCTGTTTGCCAAGTCAAAACCAATAAATGTGTGTGGTCCATTCTTTTATGTCTGTGTATAAAGAGACACAGGGACAAAAAGCTAAATTTAGAAGATTCAGTCTGTCACTGGATGGGAGAAAAAAAGAGAAGTTGTCTCTTTTCAGGCTATTTTACATTATGCATGTTTTATACCAAAGGTTAAACAAAAAATACACAAAAAAAAAAATAATTGAAATTCTTGCTCATTACCTATTCATAATGACCTGTCACAAGCAATAAGAATGAGACAATCTGGGCCTGGGGTAGATCTTAATATAGACTGCAAAGACAGAATAAAATGCGTCTACATCAATACTGGTCTGATTCAATCAAAGAAATATCCATTGACCAAAAAACGAAACATTGCCAACGAAGAACTTTACTACAAAAAAAGGCAAGGCTCGATCACTGCTTTATGAACCCCTCAATGAGATTCTTTTAGCAAGTTAATTAATGGTCCCAGTCTAAAAGCCAAAAACCTGAGGGCTCAAGCTAGTCACCAATGCTAGCCGTAATCTTCCAAAGCACTGGCCCCATGCCAACCTCTCCCAACTCTCAAAACATTGGGGTAATTTTCACACCGGATTTAGCAAACAAAGAGGGTTTCAGTGGGCCGGCATCACATGATGTGAGATGCGTTGTGGCTGTCACAAGCGTTCAGGGATATAGACAGTAAATTCTGATGTTATTTAGTGGTGCTTTGCATACATTTAGGGGCTCTGTCACTCCCTTTTTGTGCCGGTGAAAAAATGCAGATCTGTTGCAGCAACTTACGCTCGGATTGGGTGCAGCTGTTCACCTACTGTTTGCTCTCCTCTTTCCCATGCAGAAACTATTTTTCAGTTGTGAATTTTCTAAAAACGACATACTCCCACACTTCACCTGTAGCATCATAAGTTAGTTACCCTTTTGACAAACATATACTCTGAGCTACTTTTTTGCATTCAGTCATTAGATCGTGGTGATTTCAGTTGCTAAGAGTGACACAGTTAAAGACAGAGGCAACAAAAACAAACAGGCCCTGGAGAGGCAGATGGAGTCAGTGCGCAAATGCAGTACACAACAGAGAAACTTGAAAACTGAAGTGTTTCTGAGAGCCACTCCTGCTTTGCACTCCAACTCTAAAGTGAAGAAAACAGGATGAGAGAATAAGACTTGGAGTGGGAGGCAGCAAAGGCAAGCTTGCAAGAGGAAGCCAAGATGAAAGTAAATAAGAGTTTGGAAGTTTTTTGGAAGCTGAGTAAATACCCTTGGTGCCTGTCAAGCCTCTGTGGTGCTCTCTGTAGTGAACTCTGCTTTCATGCTTGTAAGCAAAAGCTGCCGATGGAAAGACTATACCATCAGATTCTAGTAATAAACCACAGACTGTGCAAATAAATAGACTCACACACCAGCA